AGGCAGATAAATCTTAGTGAAGGAGCAATAATACATTTCAGGGTTACAAACAAGCAAGAACCCCCTGTATAAATAAAAACAGGAGTGGTAAAAGATAAACTCTAGATTGAGGCCATCTGACTCTTCATCTCGAGTGGGGAGTTGGCTGGAAGTGATTGGTAAATGGGCCTTGTGAAATAATAGGGTTTTAACTGTAATCAGGATGAATACCTAATGAATTTTAGCCGGTCCAGCAATGGCAGACAAAGGCAAAATCCATTACTTTAAAAAGCTCATCAAATACCATTTGCATCAATTGATTGCATTCAAAAGTAAACCTGACATTGTATAGAAGTTGTTTAATCTTGTTTTCGCAACTTGGCCATATTGGTAGGAACGCACCTAGTCCGGAGTCCATTGTATGCATTATAATTTCCAAAGTAGGACCGTGGACGTGTTACATTCCAAAACGTTTCGCCGGCATCTTCAGTGAGTCTCGCCATTCGTAGCACCATCTTACAACTCGTCAGAGACAAGTGAAGCCCATACGTTGACCAAACGTGTGTTAAACAGTTATGGTATCTCCCCTTCTGCCCTGGCTATTCACATTTCCTATATCCTCCTATCATGCCTTCCCTGCCACAATCTTTACCGTGCTTATTTTTAATGTAGTGTGGTGTATTCCTTCGAGTTGCATTCATAAAAACCCTTCACACTCCACGCTGTCGTTATCACCCCCTTCACCCTTGTGTTGGGAATGTTGACCAGTCTGCCATATTGTTACGTAGTCCTTCCTTGGGTCCTATCAAAGTCTCCCTCCTGCCCCGTAGAATCCGTCTGCTATCTCCCTGGTACATGTATTTCACTCGACCCCTATCCCCCCATCTGTACTACTCGAGGCGTAATTCGTCCATCCCCTGCACCTAGGTGATTGACTAGAGGCTAAAGCCTCAGAGTAAGTCTCATGGTTATGCCTTTGCTACATGGACCACGTCTCTTGTAATACATACTGTCAGCCAACTAGCTCCAATCGCCGCATCGTCTATCCTGTCTCTAACTCTAATACCAATTCTATGGCTTGTCATGCCCTAGTCGCTTGTGTGTCAACCCACAAATGTTGTGGTACTGCTGGCTTTGATTAGGTTTAATGTTGAACCACAACGTTTGTGGGTTGGCACACAAATACACACGGACATTGTGCATCCTATGATATAAAATCGGTGAACCGAAAATGGGTAAACCAAGAAAATGTGAATAAGGCTAAGGCTTCAGCCCCACCATTAAGTCAAAATGATATCTTGTGAGTTAATCTAAGTGATGGGAAGGCATTGTCACTAAAACGAATAAAAAGAGGGTTTAAATGAGGTCCTTGAGACAACAATGTTGTGGAGACATTCATTTCGTATGAAAGTGCATGAGGAAAAGATTCATAGATTGATAGCACCAGAAGATAACGGCTGATTTTCGGTGAGTCTTCTTGATAAATGTAAACTTGAGACGGAAGGATAAGTTACAGCTCTGTTGTTCGTCATATAAAAAAAATAAAGCTCAGCTCATTTTCACCCAAGACGAAGAAGGCCTCGTAAAATGCGTCAACCTGAATA